AGTATCTCATTTTTAATTTTACAACTTAATCCTTAATAGTTGAACTTTGGGAGTTTCCAGGTCTTTAATTAAAAAATATTTCCTTCTTACTAAATCTTACAACATTTCCCTAATTATTATTTCTTTGGGGAAAATTATCAGATAAGAAATTGCTGACCATGCTTCCTTTGAAATTTTGAAATGTGCTGTCAAATTCCATGTAGGAAATAAAGCTCACAGTAGTGTCGGTAGTAGCAATGTTGTAGGCTAAATGAGTAATAAACAATTTTAAGATACATGAATTCAGAGGCAAAAGGTCCCTTCTAATGAAAGGCAGGTTAGGTGTCTTTACTGGAAGATGAGGGATTGGAGATGAGTTTTGAAGCACTGAAACAGACTCAGATGGAAAAACGTTCTTACTTGTAGCAGGTTCTTACTTTTAGCTAAGAATGCTCACCTGCCTTTGTTGCTCATAGATTCAACATAGATAACATTGAAACTACAAATATCTAAAAAATTGAAATGCTGAAACCAGGAAGAAAAAACATTGTTGAAAACGTAACTTTTGGAATTTTGGGCTTAGTGTTTAGAGAACTTAGAAAATAAGAAAATATACACTATTTAAAAATCAGTTAATTTTTTTGATTTTTTAAAAAGATTTCTTTAGTTGTACAAAAGAGTTGCCATACAGCAAAGCAGTTCAGGAATACAACATATCTTTAAAATTCAGTTCTTAAAAAATCAATTCTTTTGGGTCTAAGAAGTAGACCTAAAAGGTCTACATATTCAGGGATATATGTACAGGTATATGTATACCTGCATATGTAATTATACGTATGAATAAACATAGAACATGAATCGTAAAGAGGCTACTTATGAGCAGAAGGGGAATGGGCAAAATAACAAGGTAAGTAATTTTGGAATAGATTTGAGCTATACATGAAAACAGCATAAAGTGTCTCAAGGAAAGCTGTTGATCAATAGGACCCGGGGGCAGAAAGAGAAACAGACTTTCGGAAGTTGTGCAATAGTGGGATGGGGCTTGACTAACAAGGATGAAAGAAAGTGCATGTAGCTGAAGAAATAGAGAGTAATGAAAACAGCTGAGGTTGTTTGCACCAATGAAAGTAGAACAGTGAAATCTGTTGCAATTGTTCTAGAAAGGGAGTTTTTTTTTGGGGGGGGGGTGAAATTGATTGGCATACAATTGCAAATGTGTATGGAAATGGCCACAGTGAAATCCCTCCCATAATACATGCTGATTTAAAAAATGAAGAAAATAAAAAATAATTTTCGATACATGAAGACTTTAAAATTTAATTCACATCTACATGATGATGTTTTTCCTTGTACTTCATTCTGTGATCACTTTTTAAATAAATTATATCTGACATTGCTAATGAGGTCTTTGTCATTTTGATGATTAAAAGATGAGTAGTTCTCTTTGGTTTTGTTTGTTTTCACAACAGTAGGATGGCTTTCAGGACTCTGAGCTGAGCCTGCTTTTGCCTTTTAAGATGTGCTTTATCAACTGATAATGCTGAGCTCTCTACCTTGAGCAGGAATTTTGCCCTTCTGGATACTTGGCCTCACACATTTGAAGAATGTGGAAAAAGCTTGGCATTTTACATTCCACAGAAGTCCTGATAAGAAGATAAAATGTGGAGCTCAGGCTCTGAGGCTACCTCATCTTTAAGGCCACTACCTAGTTGTCCAACTGAGGTCACCTTGCCCCCTTCACTTCAGTGGGGATGCTTGGTCATGAAGGGGGCTTGCAGTTGTTACGTCAGTATCAGAACAGAGTTGCATTTTCATTCTTTCATTGTACCATTATCTTCCGACTTTTCCTTTATTGGTAAACAGCCTCAGTGTTGTGCTGCTGTGAGGCACCTAATAAGAGTCTTGCTTACAAGTTGCAAGATTCCCTTCTAGAACATGCAGAAAAGAATTTAAGACCAAGAGACCATGTGAGTGCCTACATTCATCTGTTAATTGATGGTGAAATCCCAGTCTTCAGTTGGATCCAATGAGCTGCCAGAGATGACTAACTATGTGGGGGTCAGAACCTCTGCCTAACTCAGCTATGTATGAATACAGCAGAGGCTTTCCAGCACCACACATTGGGAAGAAACCTTTTCAGAAAAGAACAGATGAAGGCTTTTCTGAAGCTTACTGTTTTCTAGGTTCATTGCATCATCCTCTTCATGGTGAACTATATAGAATACATATCCTGTTGTTTGATAATTGGTTAAATAGACTACCGATTATTTGCTATAAAAGCAGTATAAAATGTTCTATAATTTAACTCATACATATTCTAAAAATGTTTGGGCTATATGAATTTCTCGGCTTTTAAAAAATCAGATTACCCACTTCCTGCTGAGAATATAATTTTTATGAGCACATTAACAAAGGATGCATTAGTATAGCCCACTAATTGGGCTCTTTCTGATGAGCCTCTCTGAGATTCACTTGATGTACAAGCAAACCAAAAATCAGTGATACCTTGTACCAAACAAATGATAACAGCGCTGTGGCCCAGTGGAATTGGCACAGAATTGGCCATACTCATAAGCAGATTAGGACTCCATAATTTTTTTTTAGGACTTAGATTTTCTTTATTGGAATTTTTTATTATTGTGAAAATACCATACAGAGGTGTTACAATTACATGGGCACGATAGTGAGTACATTTCTTATCAAACATTGTAGCCTCCTCCTTTGTTTCCCCTTACCATCCCTTCCCCTCTCCCCTACACTCCCCTACCACCATCCCCCCCCACTCCCCCATCCCCCCACCCCGCCAAAGTGTAAAGTTCATTTTTTGACATAACGTCTTGTACATCTCATTGTTGTAATGAGGTTTTTTTCTAAAAGCTCTTTTTTTAAAAAACTAAGAATTACTTCTTTTCTGACTAGATTCTCATCATAGGGAACTTTTTCATATTCATCTTTCCAGGTGCACTTTCAAAATGTAGTAATTTGTGGTTTTAAATAAGCTCACAGTGTCATCTAGTTTGTCTTCTAGTTGTGAAAGAGAATGGCTGAGTCAGAGCATGGCAGCACTTCTGATAGGTAAAGAAAGGAATTATCTACAGTTTTGCTTCCAGCTGGTCATAAATGGATATGCCGATCAGGCAATTTACTATGATATCCAGGCTATCTTCTAAACAGTAAAGGAGTCCATAGGAACTCGAAAATTTTGCTTGGAATGTAGAGTAATATTTGTGACTTTTTTGCTGATTAGTCTATACAGCCAGTGTGAGAATTTGCTTGAGAGGGACTAGGCAGGAAGTAAACTAATAAGCAGTACTATGCACTCTCATATGCTTTTATTCAACTCTCACAGCTCTAAATTACTTATCTCCAGTTCAGTGAGGATGCTTGCTCATGAAGGATTCAGAAACGTTAGTTGATTGGCTGAGTTCTGACTACACTGGTGTTGAGCCAGTGGTCTCTCTGCAGCAACTTCTTTCAGTGATTATCTAACTGTTGACTGAGGCGAGTCAATGCTAATTATTTTCAATAGTCTGTGCTGTTGAGGTTAGATTCAGAATCATTCATAGCTTGGCTTGAATCCCACGTATGGTCATTAACCTATCTGGCTGTCTGTATCTATCTGAATTATCTCTTGTCTCTCTAGCCTCTTGCTGAATCTGCTCTTTATGATTATCTTTATGATAATTACCTCCTGGTCTCCTTTTACTACTATTTGACTTGAACTTTATTTTTTCAATATTAGCATGGCTACTCCTGCTTTCTTTCTATTTCCTTTTGGTTAGAATATCTTATATTACTCATTCACTTTTAGTCTACGTGTGTTTCCTTAGAGATGAAGTGATTATCTTATAAACAACATATAGTTGATTTAAAAAAAAACAAACCTTAAATGCATTCATTCTGTCTCTTAATTGGGTCTACTCTATTCCTTGCTTATTTATTTTGGGTTGTCCAGTTATAATTTTTTTGCTCTGTAGTTATTACCAGGCTTACCAAAAAAAACCCCTCTGTTTACTATAATGAGTTATTTTGAAATGATAACTGATTTCCTTAGCACCTGTGCTTATACTTTGGAACATTTGTGAGGAGAGATTGCTGGAGAATCCCAGTCAGCTACCATTGTGCTTCATCCCCACTAGTTGCATCATTTTGAACATAGTATCTCAGACTACTGAGAGTATGTTGATTTTCTTTTTCTTTTTTCTTTTTGTCTTTTGTTGATTGTGAGGCTTGAACTCTGGGCCTGGGCACTGTTCCTCAGCTCGTCAGCTCAAGGCTAGCGCTCTATCACTTGAGCCACAGCACCACTTCTGACTTTTTCTGTTTATGTGGTGCTAAAGAATTGAACCCAGGGCCTCATACATGCAAAGCAAGCTCTCTACCACTGAGCCACCTTCCCAGCCTGTTTTTTTTTTTTTTTAATTTCTCAGCTGCTTTCTTCACCTTTCAAAAAATAGCTTTGTTCTTATGGTCTGTATACTGGCTATGTTCTGAATCTACAATAATATTGGCTTTCTTAAGGATGGATATATATTTTGAGGGTTTGGGAGTGGCTCAAGTGGTAGAATACCTGCCTAGCAAGCACAAAACCCCGAACAGAAAGCACTCCTCCCTAAGAAAAAAAGATTAAGTGCATTTTAGCCTGAGGAATTTTACTTGGTGTTTTAAATCATTTGTAATTTAACATTTCAGGCTCTGCTTTACTCTTTATTATAAGCCAATACAGTGGACATTAGAATTAGTAGCTAAAGGCTAGTAGGACAAGCAAACTAAAGCCAAATACAGCTAAAAGGCATCTCACTGTGTTCAAATTGTGGATAGCATATCCATAGCTTCCTAAAATCCTTGTGGGGATTGGATGGGACAGAGTTGAAAGATATTTAAGAATGATACAGGTATCCTGTTTCTTCTCAGGTAATATCACTTTAAAAGGTATTCTTGATTATTTGGTCCATTAAAATGTTTGATTTCGTACTAATGAGTTTATTTGTGAATTACATCATTGGATTTGTTCCCACCAGTGATACCAAGAAACAGCAAGGAATGAGGAAAAGGAACAACAATGAAGCAGAAGACATGGGACCAACAAGTCATCATAGAAAGAAGGCCAAGTGGGAAGCCTCAGAGCCTTTGGATACAGGCCTTTCCTTAGCAGAAGATGAAGAACTGGTGTTGCATCTGCTTAAAAATCAAAGTTAAATATTTCCTGTGCTGTGTGCACCTCAATACCTCTGGACATCACTGTGTGGACATGGAGTTGAAAACAGCTTTGGGACACATTCCCAAAGGGCACATTTTCCACCCAGAAGGATTCCACAGAAGGAAACCTCTGAGACCCTTTCATAGGTTCTGTTTTGCACCATCAAGGAACATACGCAGAATAAGGGTGGGTTATAAAACTTCCTAAGCCCAGTTTCAGCATGTGCTCTGTTAGGATTTATCTATGGGTTCCTACCCCATGTCATTGGAGCCACTTCATTTCTTTGGTTTTGTTTGTGGAGTAGTAGGGACTCTACCCAAGACTTTGCGCATGTTGGGCAAGTGTTCTACTGAGCTACATCCTCAGCCTGTTTCCTTTGTTTTAGTGGCAAGTGCTAGAGCCCTTGTTTCATTGTTGGAAATTCTTGTTTTGCTTATAGTACTAAGTTTTGATGTTACTGTCAAATGGCTAATTTTGATGTTTATTTTATACTCTAAAGAGACTTAGTATGATGTACCAGCCCCCAAAAAGAATGAGTATTTTTAATATAAATATTAAATAATAAATGTACATCCTATAAGCCAAAGTAGTACTATTTTCTTCTCTCTAGTGGTATGAAAGTACCTTCAAGAGCATCCTGAAATTAGAATGCACGTCCAGTTCCTGCCTGTTCAAAAACAGTATCCTTGCTGCCAATCCTAGGAAATCTATAGAAGACCTGATTCTCAAGATCGTTGAATAGACATGATCTCTTAATTAAGTGCATAGGGGCCTGTGGGTGCTATGCATGCTCCATCAGCAGCTGCCATAGCTACCTCCCCAGACCCCAGATGTTTAATGAGGAACAAAGCAAAGCAAGTTGAAGCCTTCTTTGTGTGACAAATAACCATCAGATCCTTCAGATGGAAAGAATACGCTGAAGAAATTTAGACCTTGACAACAAATAGCTCATTTTAGCACAGATTTGTGATGCTCTTTTACCATTCATCCTTTTCCTACTTCCCTACCCTACGCACAAGCAAAAATAGTTTTCAGCAGTAGGTGCAGTTTCATCTGTGACTCCAAGGAAGAGTGCTATAGTATTATAGTCAGATATTTTCTGAGTTAGTCTGTATTTACCTCTGAAAAATGTTTTCTATTTAGTGTTATGAGTGATATTAACATCCTACAAAGATCAAAAGGAGAAACTTGATAAGTTCTTCCTCTTCATACTCTGCCAGATTGGTTCTATTTGTTCTTCCTCTTTACTACGGACTCTCTTACCTATTATTTTTGTTCTCATAACTTCCGCCTTCAGTCAGAGTTTAAATTCTAATCAGGACTTACCTAGACCACTGAAGATCTCCTAACTGGTATGCCTCTCCTACTACATTCCCTAACTAGTCTTCACAGGGAATTTCTTCAGTCATCTTGTTATTCCCAGAGCCAGATGTAACAACTCCCCTATAATTGGCTTAGTGAATTAATAAACAGCAATAAATCAAGAGACTTTTTTAAAGGTGCATTGTAGCACATTTTTTTTGTCACTTTTGTAAATGAGTAATGGGATGAAAGCAAGATGAAATTTTATAGAAATTTGGGGTTTAAGTTAGAAGTGTAAAATTTTCTCATTAGGCTCTTGACTACTTTTACAGATCATAAAGCTGTAAGAATATGAAGATTTACCATTGAATTTACTCTGAGTAGTTGTTTTTGACACTAATACCAAGCTCCCTATATACAAATACTGAAAAATATATTTTAAGGCTTTTGGTTCATAAGCTAATTTGAATTGTATTTTATTCCAGAAATTGAATGTATTCTAACTGCTTACATGTTGTAAGGGATTTTGATTTGCTGACTTTAAAATCCCACCTAAAAACATTTATAATAATAATGTATAGTAGATTGTACTTTGTTCAACATATATTCATTACAACTCATTCTTTTCCTTAAAAATTATAGTCTCAGCACCCCACTGATGTTGTGATGGTAATGAAAACAGTAATACTGTGTTTTATGGGAAATACGTTTATTATTTATCATTTCAATTCAAAAATACTCCTTCGTTCTCAGGGCTGGCCCATTGTACTCTGTCTCTTTGGAGACAGGAGCTGTGTTTACATGGAATCTGGTGCTGGTAAAACCAGAGGTTGTCTATCAGCTCTCCTTCATCCGTTTTAGGCTGGTGTGGACCAGAGAGAACTCCTTCAGTCTGGGCCCAAGATGAGAAGACAGAAAGGTAGTTTAGGCTCCACAGTCGCCTCTAAAGCTTGTAAGACAAGAAACCCACTGAGACTTTTTCACAGTAACAGCATACAAGGTGAGAGAAGTGTAGAACCAATGAGAAAACTGTCCTTTGCTAAATAAGTTATTAAATACCAGGCCCCATATTTGCTCCCATTTACAGGGAGGGAAGTGGAAGAAAAGCAGATTGATAATTCAAGTGTAGCCCAGAAGGAGGAAGGCGGCTGTTTGAGGGATTTGTTGCTGATAATACAGGAGAAAGTGAAGACATAGGTTGTCTCTAGGACCCAGAGACTAATTTTTGCTGCTTCACTGAGGCTGGGAGGCCATTCATCAGTTTTGCTGGTGTAAAAATCCCTGAAATTACATAATTCTCTGATAGATAGACCCAGCAGTAGAAGCCTTTGGAGAACTGCCATCTCATAAGCTTCACATGGCATTTAGATTTGTTTGGGGGCTATAAAAAATGGATAAGTTTAATTAAATGTAATTAATTTTGTTATACAACATTTGAAATACCCTGAACATGAAAACTCATCTCTGAGACTATCAGTGGCTACAGATGTTCCTGGGAGCTGATGGTGGAGAGGAGAGAGGAGAGAGCCTGAAACCAGGATGTGAAATCTTTTAAAACCATTTTAACTAGACATATAATCACAGTATGATTTTCTTCCACAGTCCCTGCTGATCAGACAGCTCAGGGCAGATATGTTTTAGACCATATTACCTAGTTCTTGCTGAATCAGGAATTGCCAGCTAGCCCTTTATTTAGCCTCTCTCTATAGGATACTAGTGCAAAAAGCTCTATAGCAAATAGCATTCTTATTCTCAGAACCCAAAATACAGGTAGTGAGCAAAACAGATTGTGAGACAGACCATGGGGCATAATGATGGGTAAAATCTCAGCAGATAGAAATCAGGCAGAGCTATAAGGAATAGGATGCAGGTAGAAAGACAGTAAGTGGTTAGGGACCCAGCAGTTCAGGGGACTTGTAGCAATGTGTGGAATAATGACTTGTGTGGTTAGGGATGACTATAAACACATCTCTATAATCTGGAGTTCTAAAGTCCAGGAGGCATAAGAAAAAATTCTAGGTTGTCCTAAGTTTGATAACAAGGGGCTAAGGAAGGTGATAGGGAGAGAGGCTGGAAAGAAGGAAAGGTCATTTTACATTCTTGAAGAGATGTTAAAAACTGTAACCCAAATCCCATTACTAGCTTTGTTTATATCCCCAAACCATCCAGAAGCAAAGATTACTTCTCCATAGGACTGTCATGTCCTAAAGCTTTCTTTTCTCATAATCCTTCTCTTATCTACAGCCAGTGTAGTTTCAGTGCATTCAACTCATACTTGCCTTCTCCAAATTTTTGAGTAAAAAAATCCTCTTAGCTCTGGTCCAGTGAACATTTTTTCAATCTGCTACCTAGTCTTGCTGTTGAGAATCGCTGAAACTTGTCTCAAGACCAGTCTGTATTTGGCTGGCATCTGAAATGGTCCAATGATCCCTTTTATATTAGGGATCCCTTGTTTTTGAAAGTTTAACAGGCTTAACCTTTTATTCTTAGATTTCTGGGTGAGATTGTATCTTTTAATACCTAAGCTGTAAAATCCCATCATTTGAGCTGGTCTTTGGTTTTTATTGTACCCTTCTGTAAAACTCAGAATATTGTAACTTGCATAGGAGTTTAACTTGCACAGGAATCACCAGAAGACCTTAAAAAAATGACAACCTAGCTACTCAGGAGGCTGAGATCTGAGGATCATGGTTCAAAGCCAGCCTAGGCAGGAACAGCTGTGAGACTTACTTCCAATTAACCACCAGGAAACCAGAAGTAGTGCTGTGGCTTGAAGTGGTAAAGTGCTAGCCTTGAGCAAAAGAGCTCAGGGGACAGCGCCCAGAGCCCCTAGTTGAAGCCCCACAACTGACCAAAAACAAAAACAAAAGCCAGATTTCCATCCAGGGGATTTGGAGTGGGATCTGAATTGTGTGTTTCTACTAAGCTCTAGAGATGGTGATACTATTGGCCCATGGCCATATTTGAGTGTTGAGATTTAATGGAATTCAGAGAGTTATTAAAATCATTATTCATAGATAGGGATTTACTTCACAGGAAACAGATGGTACACACAAATTAGGATAATTCTAAGGGGAGGGGGTTAATAAGAACATTATTTACATACAGGAAGGTAAGATTAATAGAATCATAAAGGATTGTCTTAACTTGAGTCTAGGAATGAAAGAATGATCACCCTCACCCTGAGAGGATAAGAGAGGTTAATCTTGGTGACCAAAACCCAGGAGAGATGAGTACACAGAGCTGCTTTGTGACCTTCATTTGGAGTATACCGCTAGCTTACAGTGACACAAGGAAGAGCCAAGAGAATGAATGTCCACATCTTGCTCGGTCACTAGACTGCATGTGGCCCTCTGTTGACCCTATTCCAACCAAAAGCAGAAAGCAAATTGCCTGGACACAAGCCAACAAACAAACACTGTCAGGTGGGGATAAGTGCCTATGATGGATCCTGTGTTAGGAGCATTCTAGTGCAGTATGTGTTTTCTTAATTCCATCAGGTGTCCCCAGTGTAGTAGCTTGAGGGCTGCTACCATAGAGGAGGGTATGGGGAAAGACATGATAGAAAGTAGTTCTTTTGAATAAGCAAAGGTCACCATTTAGGTGATAAGTCAGAAAAGGATGAACTTAGGCAGTGGGATCTGATAGTGTGTGGCGCATAGGCAAATGGCAGCTGTTACTTTAGAGAAGTGGGGCAAGGCTGGACTGAGATGTTGAAGGGAAGGAACCTGGGTTGTAGTGGAAGTGCTATTGTAATATTGTATGTAATGTAAACCAGTGTCCTCACTGATCTAGCAGCCAAGGTCATTGTGTTCTCAAGTCACCTGGGCTGTTCAGAGGAATTGCCTCACTCATCCCACACATTTTGATAGTTCTTAAAACCTTCCAAAGCCCTTACTGTACTCTCTGTGTACATTCTGTACGCTCTGTTCACTAGTAACGTTAGTAAGAGCTTGAGGTTCAGGCATGTTCCTTCTTTTCAACTCAGGTTGAAATTTACTTGCTGTTGTGGGACCTTGTGGAGCCTTTAAGAGGTGGTTAGGTTATGCTTTGTCTTCATGAATGGACTAATCCACTTGTGGATTCACAGACTGATGGATAAATGAATTACCTCAAAGGTGCATGTGTCAGGATAGTGCTGTCTTGTGTATTCCTCGCACCATGTGATGTCCTCCACTGCCTCTGGGCTCTTCAGTCCTCACCCAGAAAGAAGGCCCTCACTGGATATTGGTCTCCAAAGCTGTGCACCAAGTAAGCCTTTGTTGTTTATACATTGCC